TTCTTGGTTTCCAAAGGAAAAGCAAAATGATAAACAGTGTGTTTATTTTTAAACATTGAGAATTATAGAATCTTAGCATTGAGAATTATACAGTGTTAGCATTGGAGGAAATAGTATGTCTCATTCAGTCAGTGAAAATCACAGTTTGTTCCTCCTATGCTAATTTCTAGGATGTGATGAATTGCTGCGCATTTGATGGTTCTAAACAACAAAAAACGTGAACAAGATGCCAGTCACTTACATCTGTAATCCTAGCTGCTCCAGAGGTTGAGATCTGAGGATCCTGGTTCAAAGCCAGCCTAGGCAGATAAAGTAAATGACTTATTTACAGTTAACCAGCAAATGTTGGAAGTGAAGCTGTGGCTTCAGTGGTAGAGTTGCTAGCCTTGAACAAAAAAGCCAGATGAGAACCTGAGGCACTAAGTTTAAGTATTGACACCACCACCACCAATAATACCACCACCACTTTTACCACCCCCCAAAAACACAAAAAAACAGAAATGTATTCCCTCATGGAAGCCACAAGTCCAAAATTAAGGTGTCATCAGGTCCACCCAGTGTCTCTAGGCGTTTTCTGGTTTATATCTACATAATCTAATTTCTGCCTCCACCTTTACATGACCTTTCTACCTCTCCTCTGCCTGGCACTTTCTGGATAAGGATCCTTGAATACTTTATACCCTTTTCCAAATAAGATCATATTCACATATTTTAGAGGGCTCCATTCAACCTTTGTCCATTGTCTGGTTCATTCAGTCACCAGTGGCTCTTGTCCACTCATTGTCCTCAGTCTATATCAGAAAGAACAGAGTTGATCTTTGAAGACACAAGGTTGTGTCTCTTTTCCTCACTAAGTAATAAATGACCAAAGCAAACCATTTTCTTTTAAATAATAGTACTGGTAAGAAGTAGTTGTCACTCACACATTCCCAAACTCAGATGCTCTGTTTTGGCTCATTCAGCCTGGGATCACATTAGCATTTGTAGGAGTCATATCATAATTCTTTACTCAGATTGAATTTGCTAGGTACTAAAGAGCTCCAAATCTTATTCACACATCTATTTTTTTAATTCAAAAACTATTTATTGAGTGACAATAACAGTGCTAGACAAGAAGACTAGCAAGGCAAAAGAAGAATGAAGTAAAACTTATTTCTGTCTCATTGGAGTCAACAGTAAATTAAAGTACAAAATTGCAAACTGAGACAAACTGACCTGGGCCAATTTGAGAGTTCATAGAGATAAGACATTTGCAGTAGACAAAAGTGGGCTCCATAGTTCCTCCCAGAACTAAGCACAAAACTACCCTATGATCCAGCAATACCACTCTTGGGCACTTATCCAAGAGATTATTAATCAGGATACAGTAAAGTCACTTGTACAACCACATTCATTGCTGCACTGTTCACCATAGACAAAGTATAGACAGTCCAAATGTCTCCAGTAAACAATTGTATCAAGAAAATGAGGTACATATACACAGTGGAATTTGACTCATCCATTAGGAAGAATGATATTACATCATTTGCAAAGAAATGTATAGACCTGGAAAAAATTATGTTAAGTAATCAGGCCCAGAGAAACAAAGCATGTATGTTTTCTCTCATGTGAAAGCTAGAACTAATTTATAAATGTACAAGTAAACACATTGAAGTTGTGTGCAAGTACATACAAATACCAATATATTTTCAGGGGAGTGTTCAAACAGTGTAATTCCTTAGAAAAATGAACAAAATCTAAAATTAATACCCAAAACCTTGCACTTGAAAGGTGGGAGTGTGTCAAGGGGAGGTGGGAAAGAAATGAAGAGAGGAGTGGGGAGGGAGAATGCAATAATAACATTTAGTGCATACCTTTTGAAATTAAGAAAATTGAGGGGAAGGGTTAGGATGGAAGGATGGAAGAGAATGATGAAAAGGGTGACATCAAGAGGCATTGGTAACTCCTTTGTGGAACTACTTAAATATTTATATATATATATATAATTTATTACATATATTTATTGTATTTTATTTATTTTTTGCTGGTCCTGCAGCTTGATGTCAGAGCCTGGGTGTTATCCCTGAGCCTCTTTATACTCAAAACTAGCACTCTACCACTTGAGACACTGCACCCTTCTGGTTTTTTCTAAGTGGTTTATTGAAGATACAAGTCTCATGGACTTTCCTGCCTGGCTTCACTTCGAACCAGGATTCTCAGATCTCAGCCTCTTGAGTAGCTAAGATTATAGGCATGAGCCATCAGTGCCCAAGCTAATACATTATTTTTTTAAGTGAGCTCCAGGAATTAAGGCTGAAGGGCTCCAGTTCCCCACTGGTTTTCCCACCACCCTTGTCAGAGGCAGCAGTGACAGAAGGCCTCAGAATTCTTTCCCAACATAATTTGTTCATTGCTTCTATTTCTGTGATTTTCATCATGCACAGTGAATTTGGAAACTGAATTGAATTTTTTAAATATTTGCCATTAATTATTACATTAACAAGTTACTTTGAGTGCATTGAATAGGAAGTGCATAATTAATCCTACAGTTACTTAGGGAGATACTAGCCTTTAATGAGCTCTGTTTGTGGTATTAAGAATCTTTCTCTTGATTGAACTTGAATGGCATATTCTTATCTAAGCTAACGTATTTCCTCATCACTAACTGAAATAAAATACCTTTGATTTATATCTTGCATCTGATGGTATTGTTTTACTCTCTAAAATAAATTCCATTTTTCTAAATTGCTTAATAGACCTATAAACTCATGTGCCTTTTTAAAGTAAGATGAATGTGTGATAGTTATAAACTATTAACCCTTCAACTCGAAGACAATTTGAAAGCAGCACAACATGTGAGCTGTATCCTAATACTTGATCTGTCTTAGCATCGCCATGTTTGAACCATGTTTGAACCTTGAATCACTCTCCAGTTTGTTTTAATGTTACACATGTACCTTGTGGCTCTTTCCATAAAGAAGTCCTGATGAAGTCATAATAAAGTCAAATGTTTTCAGACACATTTTTTTTATAAATGTAAAGGTTTGGTTTTCAATGTGTGTTGATTTCAATTTACCCTTTAAATATATAAAACAAATTTCTAGATTTATTAACGTGAAGATCGAGATTGCTTTGGGTTTGGAGAGCTATGGGATGTCTTATAAAATAACTACACAGTACAGAGTTTCAGGACTCTAGTACATCTGTCTAAAGTGCCTTGTTGTGTCTTTGCAAATATGAAGTTTCTTTGCACAAGACCCCGTATGAGTTTGAATGATTCCCAGATACTTTGCAAAAGCCTGATGATGCATTTTGCTTTTCCTGAATTTACATTGCTTTCAGTTTTCATCTCTGTTTGGGACCCAGACCCCATATCCTTCTACTTTATTTTTTACTGTTTCAATTAAATAGAAAGCTATATCTTCTTGATAGGCATCTTAAATGTTTGGTTTCCTCTAGTTGATTTTTTTAGTTCATAATCTTGCTCACTCCTAAATGCTTATAATTTTATACACAACAAATTTACCTTTTAGATACTACAAAACCAGCAACTCTTGAGACTTTAACATGAAGTTTTAAATTCTATTTTTCTTTGATGTCCCCCCAAAATGTTGTCCTCCTTGCTTTCAATTAAGACAATTTAAAGGAAGGTTATCTAGTAATTGTCACTTACCAGCCATTTCTATAAGATTATTTTAATCTTGGGGGTTGGAGGGTGCACCAGTCCCTGGGCTTGAATTAAGGGCCTGGGGGCTATTCCTGAGCTTTGTGCTCAAGGTTAGCACTCTACCACTTTGAGCCACAGCTCCATTTCCAAAATAACTTTATTCCTGAGAGTAATTGTATATTTCAAAGCTAAGGGAGATGACATTCATGATCCTATCTCAGTTATTATTGATCTTTTGTAGAGAAATCTGTTTCTGGTTATTATACTTGATCTTGAGAATAAGAATAAATGACCTAATCTTGAGAATAAGAAGTAAATGACTAGAATCTACATATGTGCTAACCTTTTATTCTTCAGTTATAGAAATGATAAAAGGAAAATAGTGAGGCAAGTTCTTCTCCTAAAGCAACTCCTCCTCTTTATATAGATAAAGATATCATGCCTCTGTTATGTTCATGAGAGTTTTAAGGTATAAACGAACATGTTGCTGTGGCAATGTCATATCCACATAGTCATCCCTATAAATGTGACAAATGTTTTAATGATTTTTAGCTCATATAGCACTAATTTGACTGGCCACGTTAAGAGAAACAAAAGTCTCATATATTTCTTGTTTTCTTGTTTTTATTAGTAATATATTGATCTTATAAAATGATGAGTTCCATGTTGATATGTTATACATATGCATAATATACTCTGGTCACATTCTTCCCCTATTGTCTTTTTGGTCCCCACTTGTATGTTGCATTTTAAATTGATTTTCTTTCCCCTAACTGTTATTCCTTGAATCTCCTTCTCCCATTTCATAAAAGTTGAAATATCAAATACAAGATACTAGCAGGAATGTTTGGGAGGGGGGACTCTTAATCTTAAGGTGTCAAGTTTATGACATATAAATAAATAGGAAGCAATGCCTCTCCTTTTTTTCTTTTTTTTTTTTTTGGGTCCGGTCGTAGGGCCTGAACTCTGGGGCTGGGCGCTGTCCCCCAGCTCTTCAGCTCAAGGCTAGCACTCTACCACTTGAGCCACAGTGCCACTTCCGGCTTTTTTCTTATGTGGTGCTGAGGAATCGAACCCAGGGCCTCAGGCATGCAAGGCAAGCGCTCTACCACTGAGCCACCTTCCCAGCCCGCCTCAACTTCTTCTAATTGGTGGATCAACTCCTATTCAGTTTTCCCTTGAAAGGAAGCAACCAATCTGACTTGACTCCTATTAGAAAAATGTTAGTAGACTGTAGTGCGTTAGTCCAATGTTGAGACGTTTGTGGAATACCTAAGAAAACTTCAGTCTCTGTCAACAACTTGGAGATTGTATTTGCTCACTTTTAGAAAACTTGTCATTTTTCATTCCTTAGGTTTCCACTATATCCAAAAGGAGGGGAGAAGTTACAGTTTGATTATGGTGTCTATCTTCTGAACAAAAACATAGCACAGGTAAGTAGCTGTTCTTCACTTCTACTTCCTTGAATTATTGGCTATCTTCCTAAATAAGTATTATAGTGAACCTTCTTATTTAACCAGTTACCTGAATAATGCAAAATTATTTTATGATCATAATCAATTTCTGTGCCATTGTAATGACCATAAAGAGGCAGCAGGTACAGTTTGGAAACCTCCTGCTAACCACTAGAAGCAGTAGTTAGAAGCTAACCACTGTGTTCATACTTGCTGGTAGCCTTGTGCTTGAATGTGTAGACTTTATAATCACTTGGCTCTACAGTTTGAATCATAATAGCTTTCTTTCTGTAGACCACATCTAGGGACTCCTATTGCATTGTTGTTTAAGGAATAAAAGTTTAGTGCTTTTGGCACTTCCTTAATGGTCTCCTCACCTCATTATCCAGACCCAAAGGAAAAGACCAAACATACATTCCTTCCAACCCATCTTGGATTGTTGTGGCGCTTTCATCATCACATCACTTTGGGCCCCACTTGAGTAATGTTTAACCACATGCCATAGTAAGACTCTTGAGATGCCTGAGTTTGTGTTTTCCTGAAAGAAATACGTAACAGTATTTCTTTAGCTTATTTGGCTCTACTTATAAAGGAAGGCCAGCTTCAGTGCTTTCTTTTTATTTGAATATCTTTCCAATTAGAATAGTCTGTGGATGAGAATCCACAACGTGGCTGTTGTTTATAAACACGATCAGTTATCTCCTTAGACCTTTCCACTTTAGAGAAGTAATAAAGCTTGTGGCATTGTCAGTTTCCTTTCATCCATCTCTATCTAAAGTCTTCCTCAACAATTTTCTTGTTTATGTGTGATCAATCAAAAATTATTCTTCCATATGGTGTTATCTTTGTCTTGTTTCCCTTAACCAACCGCTATGTAATGATGGTTTTTTTCATCTGTTTTTTATTAAGATTGTTATCCTTCTTCTAAAATTGGATCAAATTTCTAGTTTGTAGCCCTGCACCAATCACTTACTTCCTAACCCCAAATTCAGAGTCCTCTTGACTATAGTACTTTTAGTTTCCTTTGTTCCGGCTTGTCCTCTGATCCAGGCAAGCAGCCTTGCGCACCGTCTCTGGCCTATGCATGACTTACCTTCACATGAGCCACTCTTCCCATGAGTACTTACTCTCTTCTGCTTTTGGCAGATAAATAGTATAGCCAAAGGAATGGGGCTTTGATGTCAAGGCTGTCAAGCTCACACGCCTAGGATCATGGTTGTATTTTCTAAGGAGAAGGCAGTGCTCTGACAGAATTGGTCAAGTAGTGCCCAGACTAAAACAGCATTAAGAAAGACAAGTAAATTAGTAAATGAATTCGACAGCATCTCCAGTGAGATCAGCCGTAGTAGAAAGATCCCATGGATACGACTGGGTCCAATTTGGCAGTAAAACTGGCATCATTTAGCTGAACTAAGTTTTGATCTGAATTCAGACTTTATTTTTTTCCTCATTCTATGAACATCAGTCCTAATATTGGAAGGCTATTGGAATCTTCTTGGTGAAACTTGCCCTTGCCTGGATTTCCCCTTAAATTTCAGCTGCAAACCACAAGCACATGTATACACTATGTGTGCACATGCCCAAACATTCATGCACATCAACACACACTGTACAGGCACAGTCACTTCTTTCTCAGCCAAAGCCTAGTATGAATTCAAGGATATCTTAAAGAGGTGCTGAGAATAGCCCTGCTTGATTTGAGAGCATGACCAAATAGAGACTGACTGCAACAGGAAAGAAGAATTCAATGCTCTATATCAGATTCCCAGCTTTAGCACCTGTATGGCTTCCTATTAGGAAGACCTCCCAAATAGCCTCTGACTTTTTGACTGAGCCACGGGTACAGGTATGTTAAACTAGTTTTGTTCATCTGTTTTAAGAAGTGGATTGGTAGTCATTTTATCCTTTTCATCTTGATATTCTTTTCATAAGATTATAGGTTGTGTTTGTGAATGATGAATAGATTAAACACTCTAAATTCATACAAAGCAATACCTTGCTCTCTGGTATTTTTATTCACTACTGTTGTGACAGTTTTAAAAGATCCAGGTACCAGTGGCTCACACACCTGTAATCCTAGCTATTTATGAGGCTGAGATCTAAGAATCAAAGTTTGAAGCCAGTCCAATCAGGAAAGTCTTAGGACTCTTACCTCCAATTAACCACCAAAAAGCTGGAAATGGAAATGTGGCTCAAATGGTAGAGAGCCAGACTTGAGCAAAAAAGCTAAGGAACAAAAGGCCCAGACCCTGAGTACAAGCTCTAGTACTGACACCAAAGAAAAAGGAAGAGACAAGAAACTTCAAGACAAATCTTAGATTTGTTTTGATTTATTCAAGAAACCCCTTCTACACATTTAGAAGGTTTCAGCAAATTTCTGACCCCAAGAAGCTTAGAGACAGTTTCTTTTTGTTTCGGACCTTACTGCCATCACTTTTTCACATTTTAATTTGTAACAAATCAAAGAGCCATTCATTATAATGGCTCCTAACCAAGTATGATAGCAAGAAGGTATTTCTAGCTTTTGAAGGTTTACCTACATAGACGAATACATGTTGTCAAAGGGAGTTTGTCTTCTCAGCCAGTTTCACTTGTACCTCATCTCCAGAGATGTGAACAAATCATAGTATTCAAAGGCCCACCTCAGTAATTTATAAGCCACATTAGTGGAGGTGGATGAAAGCTTTGGCATGTGTAGAAGTGCCAGAGAAAAAGGAGTGAAGTCATTTAATACTACGTTTATAACTTGGTTGAGGATTTGAATAGTCAATAGGACCTTTCATCACAACCAGAAGTAGTAGTAAAATCGCTTTTTTTGGTAGAGGAAATGACAGAACTTAGTAATATTTGTTACTTCAGTATTTGGGATCAGTCCAGCCCATGTTTTGAAAGCATGGGCTTAGAAAGGCAGGCCATCAAGTAGAACTCCTCTGGTGTTGTTTAAAGAGTGGCATGCTGATCAGGCATGCTTACCCTCCGCATACACGTCACTGCTGTCTGAGGGCGTGTGTGCACTGGATTAGTATTGGAAGTGAGTTCAACAGAATGCCTATTTTCAGCACCAGCTACTAAGATTGGTCAGGTGCCAGCCCCTTCGGTGGGAAAATGCCTACCCTGATGGTCATTAGGTAATGTTAGAGAAGGGAACCTGTCAGAAATCAGGGATACTGTCATTAGCAATGTTTTATAAAATCAGGCCCTGCAATCATTTATATCAGAAAACTTGGAAGTCCAGTATATTTGAATTTATGCAGAGCACAGTAGTTGGCCTGTAAGAGATAATGGAGCAGAAATTATAATAGTTTATCTTATGTTTATGGAGAGTTTTATAGTTTGAATTCAAACAATATATGCTTGAATCCATACACTCCTCCTCATCACTCTGTAAAAAGGAAAAAGAAACAGGCAGGAACTATGAAATGGATTTGAAGACAAGAATGGGCATACTTCCATATGCCCATTGTTCTACTATATTTCTGTTAAAACTATACCAAATCAGAGTTGATATTCTCAAATAGAAAAAGAACTGAATGTGCCTTGAGAGCAGACAATAAGTATGTTTAACATCATGATATTTCCATTAGAAAGACAAGGTCTGAAACACTAAGTCCTAAAGACATGTTTAATAAATGAATGGAATGAATATTGACAGGACGCCATGATAATAACAGGAAACTGGGACATGGAGTAGTGACTTAAATGGAAAAAGAAATTGTTGAACATGTGTACAACCCTTTACAAAGTAGATAACTGCCATTTGCAACAACAGGCATGAATCTGGATAACATTACCCTAAGTGAAATAGTCATACTCAGATAGAAGATAATTTATTGTCACTTTTAAAAGCTTAATCTTTTCTTTTCTTTTTTTGAGTATAGTTTTATTATTATCATTAAGGTATTATACAGAGATGTTACCATTTTATAAGTAATAAGTACATTTCTTTTTTGGACAATGTCACTCCTTCCTTCACTTTTCCTCAGTCTTCCCCTCCTGCCCCTGCCCACAAGTTACACAGTTCATTTTCCACATAGTATATGCTGAATAAGATACTGCATGTGCTCAACCTTCCCCCTTTCTTTTCTGCATCCCCTTTTATTCCTTCCCCCACACAAAAAAAAAATCAAAAACAAATACCACCACTACCTAGAATCTTTGAGGGAAAGAGAGAGTGAAGTAGAGCTGTTGCTCAAGTGGTAGAGCACTAGCCTTGAGCAAAAAAGCTAAAAAAGAAAAAAAGACCCTGAGTTCAAGCCCCACTACCAGCACAAAAACAAAACAAGCAAAAAAGGGTAAAGGCTGGGACTTAGCTCAGTGACAACACAGAATACGATATATTATTGCAAGGTATGGGTGCACCCCTATAATCCTACCACTCTCAGAAGGCTGGGCTACAAAGTGAGTTCAAGGCCAGGCTAGTGAATTGATGTCTCAAAAATAAAAGTCAAGTAAGTAGAAATAGAGTATCACCAATAGTTACCAAGATGGTGAGGTAGAGAAAGAATGGATAAGTAGGTCAGAGGGCATAAATTAGAAGTGAGGTATGATGAATACATCTAGAGAGGTAATATACTGCATGAGGATTATAGTCAATAATACTAAATTGTATGCTGAAAGTGTATTGTGGGTAGATTTATCACCCAAAAAAGGGTGATAAGTGGGTTGATTTATTTGACTATTGTGATCATCCTACTGAAAGAGAGAGAGAGAGAGAGAGTGTATGTATGTGTTCATGGCTGAGGTTTGTGGTCTGAAAAAGGGTGATAAGTAGGTTCATTTGTTTGACTTGTGATCACTCTACTGAATGTGTGTGTTATGTATGTATGTATGTATGTATGTATGTATGTATGTATCATGGCTGAGATTTGTGGTCTGAAACTAGCCCTGGACAAAAAGCATGAGACTTTTTAAAAAAATTATAAAGGGCTGGGGACATGGCTCAAATGGTAGAATGCTTGTCGTCCTGAATTCCAATCCTA